ATGATTCCTGTATTCAGGTGATTATACACTAATGAAAACATACCTATGAATATTATATTCCATTTTTGACAATAGATCCTCCTCAGTATTACACATTGGAGCTTTAAGTAAAAATTAAAATGAAAGGCGAACTGAAAATTAGGAAGGAAAATGTTGAAATAAGAACCTGATACATTTAAAATCTTGAAATTGAAAATAGAAAAGATGATCTTTTTATCATTTAATAATGGTCCGATTATTGTAAATACTAAAAGTATAATAATCTATTGGCCATTTTCATTTCTCAACAATTAACAAATATTATTAAAGGATTTGTATAAAAAATTAAATTCATCATTTTTATTAGTCTTACCTACAGCCACCAACTGAAGGTTGTTTCTGACACAGACAGACTCAGGTTGTTATTCTCTTTGTCTGACAGCATTATGGAAAGGATCCCTACAAAGATAGACCAATAGTTTATCCAGAAACCAGAAACCGTCTTTGTTAGTCTTTCCAACAATCACCAACTCTGGTTTGGTCAAAATAAATTCTTAATTCATCAAGAATAGTTAGATGTGAAAATATTTGTGAAAAGGGATGCAACATAAGATAATCTTTGGCGACAAATGTTCCCATCAAAGTCTGTCCACTAACAGGCTTTGTTATTTTAAGTGTCTGACAACATTATGGAAAGCTAACTGGTGCCTCTGCCCGTCCCTCTGTAGCTGGACAACACAACGCTGAGCCTGAACAGCTCGTCTCAGACGAAGCACAACGTGGAGCTCTCTAAGGATCAAAACGGAGTCACCGCCAAAGTGTCGCTCTCCAACCTCACTGCTTTTGTCATCTTTGATGGCACCACCGCACAGATCCGCATGAATGGTACAGAAAAGTCATCATTATAGGGCGTAGTGTGCATGCGGAGGCACTAATTGGGGGAGCGTACCTATGTTCCCCGGGTCCTATGTTCCCCGCTTTGTATGGGACCAGGGAACATAGGGATGACCCCCTAATTGGCATACTGTGTGTTGTTGATGAAACAGACCAGAGTGAATGAAGCTGAATTACAATTCATTGATGAACTGATGGTGTAACATTTTGAATCTGTGTTTGTTAATCTGGCTCCAGGATCGGCCTCCCTGCAAGGTTTATGTGCAAACTCCAGCAGCTCTCTAAGTGAAGTCAAGTTCACCGAGTTCAGCTCCGCTAGGTAAGATCTCATCACCGCACACCTGAACATCCACTGACTGCTGCATCCTTACACACACACACACACACTGTGTTCTTCTTCTGCCCCTTAGCTGCGAGACAGAGCACAATGACACCGCTGACAGTCAGATCAACTGCACCATGATGACTGAACGGTAAGTGGAGACGCACCTAAACACATATATACGGCCCGACCTCTAGGTTGGGAACCACTAAACTGCATAGTAGTTAAAACTAGCTCCACCTTGAGTAGCTACATATCATATATCAGTTACAAGACGCAAACACAACATGATCAGGAATGCAAAAACAGTTCTTCCAGAAACAAGCCAAATATTCTTGTATTACTTTTCTAATTTGAAACATGCTGATTATTTTCTTTTTAGACAAATACATTTACAGAAACAAGGTTTTTTTTTCCTTTCTTGAGATTCCTTTTAACAGTGAATGCAGGACTTCATTTTACATCGTTATATAAATACACTGTTATACTCTCCAACAACAGCTGTAATCTCCTGAAGGAGGCGCCGTTCACCTCCTGTAGCTACATCGACCCGGAGCCCTACATCACTGCCTGCAACAACACACTGTGCAGATACCCGGCGGTGGACAATCTCCAGTGTCAGTTCATGGAGGCCTACGCCAGAGCCTGTGGCCTTCTCAACGACACTCAGGATAGCTGGAGGTCAAAGACCAGCTGCTGTGAGAGCATCCTTCTGTTTTATTGTCGTGTTTCCCATTTACAAACCATCCAGGCTGCAGCAGAGGGGTGGAAAACTCACTGTCACACCGTCATGGCAATTTTTGTTATACACTTGCTAGTAATGAAGCAATTTCATGGAAGCCATTAGTTTTCTTATACCACACCGCAAACTTTTATAGATATCTGTTAGCTAGCTGAGGAGGCACATAGAATTGAGTGAGAGAGGCAGCTAGCAGCAGTGCTAACGCTAACACAGACTACACCAAGGTAGCTCTACAGGTTAAATGAATGCATGTATTAAAAGAACTAGATATTGGGTGCCAAGATAGTGCCTACTCAGTTTAATGAGAATTGGTTTTCTAAAAAGTTAGCCCTCCCATAGCTGCACCGGTGTAAATATATATTTTGAGAGATTTTCCAAAAGCCTGTTTTGCCAACATATCGAAAACTGTATCCTGTAGGTACAGCAGCCACAAGATGCAAAAAAAAATTAGTAGTGGCAAATATTTATGTGTTATCTGGGTTTTGCACAGGGGCATGGCAAAATGGCATGACAACAACCCACAATCTTCAGCCGAAGCCGAAGGTTTGGTGGTTGTACCACAATGCTAGCCTCCTATTTTTTTAATATTTTCCTGGGGCAATAGAATCTAGTGCCTCAAGGAATGTGAGTATTAATATGACTGGGAGGGTTGGATTCATTTAGGCTAACATA